TAACTGCGGACAATAAACAAATTACAGCATGGTCTTCCAAGCCTTAAGAGTGTCATCCTGCAGAAACAGCAGCCATGAACACAGTCAATTTTCGAATAGCCATGTTAAGCGTCAAACATCAAACATTCACGTACATCTTTTGCAATAACATACTACCTGGTAAGAATGTAGTATGATACTAGTAACGTGAGTTGCCAGTCACTCTGCAGCCGTGTTCCTAACAGTCTGTGGCCGATCGCGATGCTTTTGTAGCCACCTCGGTGGCGTTCTTTAACCTATGGTTTCCGATGGGTATGCACCTCGAAAGTAATGGGGTATCGTCGGAAAAAGCTTGGGAATATGACTTATTACGGACAGTTACAGCGTGGATTGCGTCTACTAGACAAATCCATTACACAACCATATAAAATCTGTTCACGATCACTGTTATAATTGAGGGAACGCCTCTGTTACGATTGTGTAGGTGCCTGATAAGATTGTCACTGGCACGATTGGAGTACGCCTACGGTAACGGATAGGAACGCTGGCCAATGGAACGGATTTGCGTTGGCCTGACGGCGTTAGCTTAGCCTGGGGTACGCGCTGGTGAGAAGGAAATTGAGCGAGCGTGAGAACGATCCTAGCCGCACGTATTCGGGTGGACGCTGAGCCCTCGAAACGGACGCACACGAGACGGGGTTACGGTAGACTCGCGCTAGTGACTTAGGCGCGAACGCTGCCCTGCTAACGATGCACAAAATCAAGTGACCGACCGACTCCCACTGAGGCGAAGAGGCAAAAAAGGCGAATGGTCTTCTGAAGGCTCTTTCACGACCAACAAAGGGCAAATCACAGCCAATGCTATGGGTTATTAAGTTAGGGAAAACAGTTACCACGACGTGGTGGTAGTTTGCAAGACCATTGTGAAAAGCTGCGCAGTTAGGCCGCGCCTCGGAGTGGTTGAACTCTGCTACGTTGTGAGGAGGAATTGGACCCTGCTTCCCACAGCCATTTTGCCGGGATTTCTGGCGCGTTTTGTGGGGATATTTGACGGGCCCGCAACAATCACAAATGAAAACATGTTGCTTAAAAATCGCATCAGCGCTTGCCAGCAGCATTGAGCCGTCTGTTGTCAGCCACGACACAGTTACCGCTCAACCCAGTCAAACGAGGACCGGCTGGATTAGCATGCATAGTGGAAGAAGGATGCCAGATTCCTACTATGCTCCTAGTATGCAGCAAGTGTTGTGAAGACGAGCCTTGCGTAATAATGAAGAGCCCGTGGATCATGAGGCACTTTGTGGTCATCAGTGGATCTGTTAAACGTTTCAGATAAATTATGGGTGATAATAGTTGTCCCTTGTATTTCTCATGCGTGGCCATCCTCCACTGGAGCTCTCACAACACCAGTGAATAATAACGAATGTCCACACTGAGAAAGCCTAGGGCGTCCATGCAAACAGTGAGCCTAAATGATTTGCTGCCCATCCAACTGGCAATAATCAGTACACCTCAACTTGGCCGTGCAAATTTCCCGCGAGTATTACATGTTCGCACATGAAACACGACAATATGTGGGTAGACAGTTGAGAGCGATTCATACAATAGAATGAAGCCAACTATTTGCTACTCTCATCACAGGTCCCTAGTTTAGGCGTCGAAAGTAGCTGCTCGATAATTGGGACCATCTCAAGTGAACTTATGCTTACCGGTGATGTCGTTGCAAGCAAATAGTCGTAGCTTCTTCTACCTTTTCTGGTCACCAATTGCAAACCGCGCACGTATGACCACAGAGAAACTAAACTTTCATGTCATCGGCAAATACGTCGACATGGGCGGTAGGCGATTTCAGTGCTTCCTTTACATTCCCTTAGGCTTTTAAGAAGGATTCGTGGTGAATATTGAACATTTTTCCTCTGCTTAATGTGCTTTGGCTGCCCCTCATTTTCGCGTAGCAAGGCTTGAGACAATATTACATTTACAAACGGTCCTCTTCGCAATGTGCGTCGATTAAGTGAAGCCAACAGAGCCTTGGAACATTAGGAAACGGGGATCTGCTAAACCACGAGAATTAACCGTCAAATAGCCTCCGCACTTTGATAGCAAATGCAGTATGTACAGCCCTCTGTAAAGTATGCGCAACTTATTACCCTAATATTTACCCTACACCATGCATTACCCAAGGAAGGAATGTACCCAAATCTTGCTCCGTGGTTCCTTCATCATCGACGAAACCTGACGAGGCACGTGCGGACGCATTTTAGTGTATATTTGTAGCAAATAGAAATGCAAGTTCGTTGTACTTTTAATGAAAAGGCGTCACTTCTTTTTGATGAAATTCTTCAACGGCTTTCCAGGTCAACGCGTTCATCAGGCTGCCGTTTCCATGACAACGCTGCAATTTCACCTTCCTGTCCGACTGGTCATGTGAGCAGTGTCGTGTACAACCTTAAAACGGAGACGTCGGTGTGTTGATTAAATACCTATCTCAGTTGAAACTGCCAACGGTGCCCATAGTGAATGCACCCCGTCGTCACATATTTTAGTTAATGGAGTTCACTGTAGAGTACGTATTTGTCACCGAACTAACCGACGCTAAGTGACATCATCATTGGTATGGTTGGTCTTTTGAAACTTCAACCGCTACTGATGCGTGAGTTGTGCCCACAGGACAACTGATCATGAATTCGCCGACAAAGATGAAGTATATGCCGCAGTTTCTCTTGTTGTTGTTGTTGTACATGCAATTATTCGCTATGACTACGAATATCATTGAGGCAAAATGTCAAGATGCATATTTGATCATTTTTTTCTAGAGGCATGTTCCGCTGATGTCAGTGTGTTTGATTGCCACTGCTCTATGAGGTTTTGGACACGAAACTATAGCCGAACCCATACTGGAAATATGGCGAGGAATATTTGATCATTTGTATTTTTACAAACGAGTCAGATAAAACTGCATTCGGCCACATGTTTTCTGTTTCTTCGTCTCAGTAGATGTTGGCTTACCTTGTAATGGGACCCATCTAATGCGCAGGTGTAACAAGCAGCGTAACGGACAGGCTTTAATCCAATTTTGGGTGACATACTCGGATCTCGAACTAGTCTACCTACGATTGAATCATGCTGCAATTGAATTAACGAAAATTAATAACCCATTCATTGCTACCAGGACCGCTGACTATATTCCTCTTCTTCACCAGATGTTATCATGATATCGCCAAATCAGTGTCCAGAGTAAGACCAAAATCTTCGAATTAGTACAGTTTGGCGATTTGTTTCCTCTCCATGTCTGTATCGTCACAATGAGTGCTGAAAGTTTACAAACAACAGTGTGTCAATCCCGGCAGTTATGTCGACAAAGTGCATCCTTCAGGGAAAGCATTCGAGGTGTTGTGTTTTTCGCCTAACGAGGGCATGTGGACACGGATTGCAAAGAACAAGTGCTTTGTACATATTACGCTTGAGTAGCAGAATTTTAGAGGCAATCCTTTATAGTATTCATCCCGGTAGTTCACAAGCTACATAACACTGTCAGTGACAGTGGAAGATAGGTGGTGTTACATCCCAGTTAGCTTGCAAATTGTGTAGCTAAGCTAACGTCTAATGGCTCAGTGACTTAAGCCGCTGGCTAGTTTGCATCTGCCTAGCTGTCATGGGTTCGATCCCCAGTAGGAGACCGAGGGAATGCGGACCACTGACCAGCCCCAATGCGGCGAAACGCGTCTGGTGATTTTCCGAACTAGGCTGTGCTGTGTAACAGCTTGTGAACTACTGGAATGAATACCTTAAAAGCTCTGTACATATGACTGACCTTACGGATCCAGTACAGTGCCACGTGACCGCATGCCGCGTATTGATGTTTTCTTGCGTAGTTCTGCGCAGAACGTTCCAAGCATATCTCATTCTCAGTACACTCAGAAAGTGCATTTCCTACGCTGTACCAATTCTTACACGTTCAGTACGTTGCTTTTTGCTCAACTAGATGATAATGCTTGAATCCCTATTTCGCTAAACCATTTTGCTAGTAATTGTGGGTGACTGGAGAGTCTAAGTGAAATGGACCGGAAAGATTTAAGGGAACGCTGCTATAAACAGCCAGTTAAACTTAACCAAATTTAAAGCAATTTTAATTTCAACTTGCGATCTCAAAAGTTGGCACTCTGGTCAAGGTGCTCACTAGACCCGAGGCAATGAATCATGTTGCTTCTCACTGAAAGACAGCGCCGAAATTGATCCACTTAATAAACATCTGGTAATGGAAAAGCGTACATTAAAATCTACATAGCTTTTACATTTCAAAAAGTGTAGATACAACCGGTGGGAGACCAAGTTAAATTCACTACTTGCAGAAGGCTTCAGGTCAGTGTACCACGTTCATTGCCATTCGGCTGTACAAATGAAACACCGATTTTACTCTTTACTGCAGGCCTAGTCCTTTGCCGTTAATTTCAACTATATATATATGTGCTCCAGGTCGCGCATACATGTACTTATTGCTTGATGGGTCCGGTTCATAGTTAGTCGGGATAACTACTTGTTTATTTATTTGGTGTTGGTCCGTACTACATGTCATGCTCGCTATGCCGGTATTGATCGTTAACCGCAGTCTGTGCCAATTGCCGAAACAGCATTTGGTTTGGTGACGCCCTCAATCACGATGGCTTGCAAGAAAAGCGGCGTGCGAAACACCACAGCAAGCAAATTAGAGTTGATGTATGTATTGTATCTTGGATAGAGAACTCGTTGACTAACAATGGCATTCTGTAACTCACTTGTAGAAACAGTTACTGGTCGTTCCACAAAACAATCCCAGCACTTGTACCATCCACGAATCGGTTTTTTGTTCGTTTTGCCTTTTGTCACTATATCCCTCACTGTGAACTAAACAAAGTTAAGGCGAATAGCAGAAATTGGGTCTAAAGACCTTGCTACTGGGAATTTCAGCTGGTTTGGCTAAGAAAACTGAGACGTAATGTGACTTCTTATATATGTTTGCGTTTCTCTTCCTTATTTTACAGAAGCCATTACTGAACAACCCACTGCAGTGATCGTGAGCACAAGTCTTGGTCCGAATTCGCAGCATTTCCTATGTAGTATTTGCTTAAACAAAGTGGTTACCACAGTGCATTATGTGAATGGCCCGTGCACTTGGCTTGCCTGCACCGGAATCGCTCTCATCGGGTGAGTGTCTGGCTTCGTCGCCCAGATTATTAGAGTTCACACAGATGCTTCATGTTACCGTGCACACGTGATATCATTGCGCATCAATAAAGAAGCTTAATCACTCGTTACTCACAAGTAGTCAAAACATACAGCCGTACGTCGTACATAGCTGCTGTGGGAAGCCGCGGCTATATGGACAAACCATATCCTCTGAGAAGTTCGTAACTGCATGGTATTAGAGGATGAGAGGCACAGTTGGCGCAGTTAGCTCCTAAGTCATGACAATCTGCTTCGGGAAGTCACGTGTCCTATTCTTGATGGAGGCGAAAGATTTGTGCTACTGACGAGTCCAGATGGGATTTAAAGCTTACCTAATGCCTTCCTGGATGCTTGGGATGCTGTCTGTTGTGGAGTTGTTGGGACAAACCATTAACCAACAACTTCAAACGCATCAGTTGAATGACCACCCAGGTTCACGTTGCCACCACTAAATGAAAAGGTACACACCAGCTACGCAGACAAGTTAGTGACTGCAATGAGTAAACGAAATGCTGCCAAAGCAAGTCCTTAATGGAACGTCTCCCTCTCAGTTGAGATTCACTGTCAAGGGGGATGATCGCCGTATCTCTTTTCCTCTACACCGGTGATATATTCAACCTACTAGTAAAACAATGAGTCCCATTCAGCCATTCCTTAAGAGCAGTGAGGAGACATAAGTTGCTATATGTCAGCATTTGGATTGTTCTCATCAGTCACAAACACAATACAAGCGGAATACATACACACTTGTGTCACTCTGACGTACGGTTCAAGTGTTCGAGTTAGCCCTCGTATTTTCCGCTTGTCCTTTGCGTTGACAGCGTACTTAGAAGAGGCTGTCGTATTATCACAGGAGGCAGGTATACTTAATCACTAGTCCCATTGCCATAAAAGATGTCAGAGGCTCCCTGAATATCAGACGAAAGGAAGAAATGGTCCCAATTTGGATCCTAAGCAGAGCGCAGAAAGCTACCCAATCGGCATTTTGCAGGAAATGTGAAACCACCGCTGACCTCATATGCGACCACATGGCAATAAATTTACATCCGATTATTTTGTGATCACACCCAGGGAGATCGTCAGTTACATCATTAGCTATCGGGGAAGTGCCTGATGTAAAAGGTAGGTCTAATATATTTTTATCCCTGGTAACCCCGAGAAAAGTTTGCTCCCAAATACCAGTGCTGACGGAGAATATGAACTCAGCATGTTTCGCGTGTTACTATGTTGGACCAACAGATATCTGGTGGGTTGAAATCCCCACCTACGACTTTATCAATAGAACTAAGTTTCCATATGTAATTGAAGATGTCAACCAACTGGTTCTCAACGCTGAGGCTGGCCGCGAGTGAGCTGAGTGTTTAATTCAAAACATTGTAGTACATGTATTCTCAAATAATTTGATGTACGTTAAAGATAACCGCTCGGAAAATATGTTGAAATGTCTTCTAGGTTTACCAAAATACCTAACACCTTGGCGAAGATAAAAATGGAAAGCGAAGCGGTGGCCAGCTGCCCTGATAAGATCGGTATTCTACGTGAAATGCAAAGCCACGTACTTAGCTTTGAAGTAGTTTAGTTGGAACGGAAGTTCTGCACTTTGGTGCTAACTATGACCAAGTCCTGTTTTTCTGTAGATTACCTAAGAGGTAAAACAGTGGGTCTCCTTCAACCATTTCGTCACAGCAGTGAGAAGACGTAAGTTGCGATATGTCAACAATTCCATTGTTCGCTTCATTCGCAAACACGATACAAACGGGATTCATGCTTATATACAGGGGGAAAATTGACACACCAATCAAAATGTCAAAATCAAGACCATGGGAACCTAATTGACTGTCTCAGTAGTTTTTGTGCACACAACACAGGTTGATAAGCCTTAAGTAGCAAAGCCTCACTGATTGCCAAAATTATCGGATTGTTGTTGCGCAATAACACATTGAACGCAGTCTCCAGGTTCATCGGATGTCGAGTTGCCAAGAGGTGCTTGGTGATGGATGATGCTGGGCTCCGGTTCATCTTCGGATCCACTCCCTTTTGTTGCATCACCAGTTGTTCTAACCATCACGGCACATGTTCAGCTACCATCTGAGCTAACTGACGGTCAGTCTTGCCTATGTAAATGTCACCGCAACCGCAGGTGAACTGGTAAACGACGCGAGAGGTCTACCTGACTGATGAGTTACTCTGATGGTTATGAGTCGCAGCTGGGCGGTCGCGTAGGTGCGCGTAAGGGCGGACCGGTGTTTATGTTGGATATCATTTGATACATGGTCTCCTTTGAACGGCGAGAACAAATAAACATTCTTTTTCGTGTGTTTTCGACTGATCAGAACAATCGAAATGTTGACATATCGCAACTCATATCTTCTCACTGCTCTGACGAAATCCACTAGTAGCAATCATTTCTTCTCTATGCTCCCAGTATTGATATTCCAACAGCTCAAGGTGCGATGTAACGTTTCTGGAAGGATTAGTTAAACAGCACAGGACTCCGTGAACGTGATTCTAATAAGTCCTTATTACATCGCAAATCAAGTCGGTTTTGTCCGAGACGTTTTACTTATTTCCACTGGTACGATAAACTGTCCATTCCCCAAGTGTCGTTTAGATTTACTGTGAGTTTGGAAACCATCATTACAGTCATTCTCGCAGGGTGATGCTTTCCGTTAACACCGATTAATCATTAATCCCCAAGATAAGAGGACGGAAGGCCTCAGGGCCAATTTGAACCACCTAACCCCAGGATATCGTGATTTCAGTATCGTGAACATTAATGTTCCCCCTGGGTATTTGGTGATAATGGAACAGATGACCTGATACATGTATGATGAAATAGGAACAATGGAACAATGGTGTATTACCGATAAAATAGCAAGCCCTGTGGGATGAAAATTATTCAGAAAATGAAACTACATGATCACATGGACAGTGTTTTGATGGACTCACTATAGTGGTTGTATTCCGACATGCGTAGAAGAGCAGAGCTTTTCGCGCTGGTTGGAATTTTGGAAACACACCGTTTGATTGCTTTAGGTAGCCCCCGGATAACAAGTTAGCTAATGAAATGCAAATGGGTGAATGCTTCTTCAATTCGTTTTTTAACCATTGTTAGGTTGGAGGCAGCGATGACATAAGTAGGGAGAGCGTTCCAAGCCTCACACGCTTGAAGTGAAAAGGAATTTCTACAGCATTCCAGCCTGGTAAAGTGCATTGTCAGCTTCAAACAGTAACTTCCTCGGTTAGTGTTGTGATCCAGTTTCAGCAGCATGTGGCAAATGTGGTTTGAGTTCTACTGAATCTGGTAAACCATTATGAGGTCCCTCCGCAAGCGCCGATAACAACTGATACACATTCATACGGACTTTAGTCTAAGCTGATAGGGAAGATAGAGGAGACCCCTAACGTTCTTGGTTGTCTTTCGTTGAAAATCCCCGAAAGCAACGAGATCTCATTTCTGCCACGCTTGCCCCGTTTGGATGGAGTATTTCACGTGTGGTCCCACGTAGGCGTTAAGCTCGTAATGTCTTGACGTAATCGGCGAGAAGTGGAAAATTAAAAGACGCAACCCTTCCTAAGTCGCTGTTAATCACCAAGAATAAGCGAGGGGTAGAAAATCTGTGTCAACTTAAACGCGTAATCACATTCCAACTGGCTGATCACGAGTAACAGTCTCATTATTCTGTGCGGAGAGTCAGGTATTATGTTAAACAGAGGTAAGAAATTTCTTACATCTGAGAAGGGGCCGAGGACGCGCTGCACCCCAGATGCAGGTGTTCTTGGAACAAGCACTTGTTTGGCCTGTCCTCCAGTTGTTCAGATAATTCGTTGTTAAATTTGTGCTTGGTCGACATGCGAGCAATCGTCGAAGCACAATATTTAGGTTCTATCGATGCTAATCAGTGAGTAATATGGTTAGCGAAATCAGGACCTCGAACTCTCCGTCCGTCGCTTCCATTGTTACAATAACACCTTGTACACGGTCAAGGTTGGATGAGTGCACGACATAAGACCAACTGAACTAGTGACCAAGAGATCTACACGTTTTATTATGACTGTAAGCGTAACACGAGCTATTTATTCCATTTCCTGCTAATGGCCACTCCTCTAGCCATCAATCTTTTGTGGCATGTGATCAATCCGTCACAACGAGACTGGACCTTAACCTGGTGCGACGGTTTTTCTACCTCTTCGACCTAATGAGCTATACTGGGCGGTGCTTTGGGGCTATTGGAATACCACTCCCACCCGGAAGGTCCATGGTTAAAGGTCAGCGAAACTCAGTCTCCTGGTCCTCCAGGTTGGGGGTTGGAAATAGGAAGGCGTCCATTTCTGTAAACCTAAATCATTGCCACCTTCCCACTGTCTTGCGGGCAGGCATTTGAGCTAAAGCTTTGGTCGAGGACCGTAATCATCCTTCTGTCTAAGTCTGGACGCATTGGCAGTATCTCAGCCCACATACAACCATAACTATCTACAAACATGAACTTCATCCTACATCGGCCGTCGCGCAGATTATTAAGAGTCGCCTTTTCTGCTGCATACAGCAGGGTGGATAAGCGAACACATACTACTGCTGGCGCCTCCCTTCGTTCTTTTTCACCTGTTTCTCTTACTCAACCTGACCCCCATTGCAAACCTTCCTTCTACAATTCCCAGCTTAATTGACAGCAACCGAAGTGCCGCTGGAGTAGAACCACCTGCAACCACCTTCCCACAACACCCTTCGGACGCCTATCGGCAACAGTCCCTTATAAGTATACGCTATCCAGTTTCTATGGCGACATTCAACGTTCGCGCTCTAAGACAAACAGGTCAACAGGCTGCACTCGCATGCACCTAGGACACACTGGGTATTGATGTGTGTTGCGTGTCCGAAGCTAGGATCAATGACCCTAATGAGGTTGATAAAGTAATTGCACGCTACTTATCCTCTCGTTATTGGTTGCACTCATCCGGAGACGCCGATGCAGCACTCA